AGAACAGAGTTAAAAGAAAAGAAAACTCTGCCCAAACCACTTCAAGTTGGGCAACCACATTACTGTTGGTACATAATTTTTTCATGACCATCATTGAAGCAGGCAGTGAGCCCATGCCAACTCTTGATTTAACCCCACCAGCTATGCATTTCTTTCTTAACAAAAAAATGTTTCAATTTTTTCACGGGGAAGCAACATATAATCTATATAGTTTTTCATTTGGAAAACTTGGATATTGAAAAAAAAGGAAGTTTGCCCCACCTTCGTACTTTAATCATGCACATTGAGTCTACTTTGAGATTTAATGATAATATTTTCCTTTTACACATTCACATTTTCGAGTCTTAGTGATTCACATTGCATATCTTTGTGATATTTCCATAATAGTTTGAGAAGTTAGGTCTATAGCTTTACTTCAATGATAGCTGGATGACCTATTAGAGACAAATCAATGCCAACTCTGAACATAGGCCACCTACTTATTTTAATTGTTGTGATAATAGTTGCTAAATGTGCTTCTATGTTAGACGAATACCCAATTTTCAGGGGGAGAGATTGTTTGTAATGGAAAAGATCTACTTTTAAGGGGAGAAATTTATTCTGATAGAGATATCTTTCTGAGGGGGCGAAATCAAGTTTATTTGATAATGTTTGAGAATATCTAAAGCTGATTTGTTAAAGTCTTTGACTATTCATGATGTTAAGTATTCTTCTAATCATCACAATGAGGGAGAGAAATAATATCACAGACATATCAAATAAGAGAAGAGAAAAGATTATCAAAGATATTTGTAACATGTGTTAGTGCTCAAAGGGAGCTAACAAGAGAAGTTAAATTTCAAGTGATTATGTTGAAGAGAAGGTTTGAATCTATATCTTTTGAAACTAAGGTTGAAAAGCCATAAAATTTAAGATTGTAGATGTTGATGAATAGGTTGGTGCTGATTTGAAGAATTTGTGTTGATGTTGAGATTTATTGTTGACATATCTGTTAAAGATTCATTGGGCTTACAAGAGAAAGACTTGAAGAGTTTGTTTTTTAAAGTTGGATTATTTCATGATATAAAGGTGACAAGCTTAGTACTCGTAGTGTTAAATCTTCAAGTCTGAATGTCTAAAGCTTATTTGTTGATTCAAGATGTTTTCTTGAAGATTTGTTGACTGTTGTAGACCTCAAAAGAGAAAGTTTATGAATGATTTTAAAATTTGTTTCAAAGTGAAGATTTTGATCTGAAGAATATATTTTTTTAAAGAGAAGATTTTTATTTTTCATATTCGTCTTATTCGAAGGTTGATAAAGTCTGATTGTCTTCATTGGGGGAGATTGTTTGTCAAAGATCGTTTGAAGTGAAGACAAAGGGATTTGTTTTGAAGAATGTGATCTCGAATACAAAGGGGGAGATTGTTAGGTCAAATATTATTGTATCTGATATCACTGAGCTTAATGATTGAAGAGGTCAAAGCTTAAAGTCAACAAAAGTCAACATTGTGCTAAGTTGTAGTTTACTTTGTAGTTTGACTTTTATGTTTAGTCAATCTTATAAATAGCTTTGTAATAGTAATTGTAAGGTGTATATAGATGCGTACATTGAGAATCTATCTTAGAGAGAGAGAAACGTGTATTGATAGAGTTTATCAATATACATGATGATTTTATCTTTAGATTGTTGTTCTTATTTTTTATTCATTGTTATCTAATTGAAACTGTGTTTAACATTCCATTTAGTAGTGTATGCATGATGTAAGGTAAAACTACTACCAATACTACTTTAACCTAGTCTAGACATTTTATCCCAACACTTGACATGCATATACAAAATACTCTCTAAATAATCAGATGATAGTAACAAGTTAATGCGTCTGGACAGGACCAATTGCTTTGATTACACTTATCGCATAACTTTCTATAAAACATTATGGTCCCAACTTCTAATGCAAAATGTGACTCAAACCTAATAACCAAATGCATAACAAGGAAGGATCAGTCTACTAGTTTGGTAAATGTCGAAAAAACATGTGATCATACATAACAATGTCAACTCTGTAATCAAAGAAAATGACAACCATAGACTCATATGGTTTTATTATTGATGTGGTAGTCCCTACAAGAAGTTAAAGCCAATTGTATTTCACAAGTCAAATGAGGTTTACAGACGAGAGAATCACAAAACAACTGAGCAATACAAGTTAGAAACAAAACCCTCAAAGTGCTCACAACTATGTTTTCTTTCAAATACAAATAAGATGAATCAACCCTCAAATGTTCAACCATCCATAAGTATGCTCTAAAAGATTTATTTTTCTAATTGTGCCCATCTACGATTTTCACACGCAACTCGGAAGTCGGCTAACATCGTTCTCGATCCTAAAAACACATAGATGACTTAAATGAGCCTTAGAGGTTGTTAGGAGCAAGTCTCCTTGTGTTTTAGGATAAGACTTCACAATGTGCACAAGTGGTTGCCAAACAAGTGACATACCACATCAAAAACAATAAAGGTGAGATGAATTCATACCACAAATTTCAATAGGTTGGTTAATTGATTTTGAGCTCTTACTCATGCAAATGCATAGCCAACCTCATATCTATTACATACTTGTGAACTATCTTCCATCTAGTAGACGGTCCAAAGACCTCATGCTTTGGTGTTCACCTATGCCAACTCTAACAACAAGGTCGAGCAATAAGATAATTCTTAGTGTCAATCTTTTATCTTTGGAGGCGTATCAAGATATGGTGGTAATGTATCAGGCTTCATACAAGGTCTTAAGAAGGATCTTGCATCCAAGAACTTCTTTTTCATGTATATAATATTTGATATGAGAAATGAACCCATGCATCCTCCTCACTTTGTTGAGGTTTGAACTCATATCCAAGAACTTTTTAGACATGAAGAATGACGTGGAACCTAAAATGTTGTGTTGATGAAATCCTTGACGTAACAATTAGGGAAAAATGGTTGTTGTATTACGTTATGTAGACATGCCATACTTCATACTCAAATAATTAATTTGGATCATTCATTTTCCAATCATCGACATTCACAATTGATGTTCTCTTTTTCTAAAACTCGGTTTTAAGCTTGATACAATTTCTTGATTAGATTATCATAATTCTAGTAACATGGGGCAAAGTAATGGTCATTGAGAGTTTGGTTTTGACATAAACAAAACCATCATTTGCTTATTATTTTGCTCATCAATTGCAGATGGCATTTATAAATGTCATACAAAAGGGTCTAAGAAATCCAAAATTTTCTTTGATATGCTTTAAAGTGATGAGAAATGGTTTTGGGACTAGTTTTGAATAAATGTATGAGCTTAGAGTAAGATAGCAAGAAATGACGGTGGAAAAAGTTAATGTTATGGTACATGTGTTTGGTTTCCGATGTGGTGTTATTGTTCTGACTAACGGTGCTCAAAAACCTGACCAACCCGATCAATCCAACCCAACGCAAAATAACTTAATTTGAAGTAACCCGATGTTTAATCGAGTTGTAAAATTGTCAAATCGTAGGTATTGGGTTGATATTGGGTTACAATTATTTGAACCCATACCAACCCGATGAACCCGATATCTTTTTATTTCTTGGATTTAATATGATTGTTGAATTTTTATTAATATATACATTAGACAATTACATTATCATGTATGCTCTTCATATACACATATTTTCAATCTATTCACATCTTTATATAACTCATTCATATATATGTCCAGTAATTGTGAACATATATATGTAAATTGAGAAAATTAACTGAATGTGATATACGTAAGAAATATGGATATGTTGTATCAAATGGTTGATGATGAAAAAGAAATTATGAGTAGAAAAATAGCATATTCAAGGTTAAAAGAATTTTTTAATGTACCAAAGTATCAACCCGACCAACCCGTACGGGTTGGGTTGCACTTTGGTTTGGGTTAGATTGATTTAAGATTTTTCAAACTGCAAACATTGAGTTGGGTTGTTCAAATGTCTTCAACCCAACCCATGAACACCTCTAGTTCTGCCTAGTGGTTTATTTGATTTGTGAATATTATGATAAGAGCCTAAAAAATTCAGACATTATTTTTATACATTGATGAGGAATTTCAGTTTGCATTGTTATTCTACTTAATGCAACTCAATTTTCGGATTACTTTTGAACTATCATAGAAATTCCAAAGAAAGGGTCAATATCTTGAAAACTCGATTGCTTTTTAATAAGAGTAGACAAGCATAAAATGCACAAAGCTAAGAAGTGATGTTTTCTAAGGGGCCGTTTACCAAATGCTTACTCGGGTAAGCGCTTACCAAGTCACATTACCTCACCAGATGAATATGGCAAGAACCAAAATTTTACCCGGTAAGAGGAATGCAAAGACCGAGAGTCTTACCCGGTAAGTGATGGCGACAACGCTTACCACGATTAGCGCTTATTGGGTAAGTTATTACATATGTTGTCGTTTTGGTAGACTAAAATCTTACCACGTAAGTAAGCGACAACGTTGAATTTTACCGTTAAACGTTTACCGGGTAAGTGTTTAAGTAAACGGCCCCTTAGTTGTTTTGAACACCATTGAGATGTTTTAGTATTAGTATTTGATTATTGTTTTGGCATGCTTAAAACTTCAGGTTTCAATTTGGTGCTATGGTGTTTGTTTCTTTCGTTAGTCGGTTTTAATTTCAATGCTTCATTTTTTGTTTGTCTAATGGTTTAATGGAACTCTCAAATTCAAAAAATCTTTTCAAGTAATGTATTTGTGCCAAGTATACTTCAGTTTTTGTAGATGATATTGGTATTCTAGTTTAAATAAAGTTTTCGTTTTTCAAGTTTCTTGTTTATGATTTTGCCGTTGCTAAACATTTGATCACTCTATTTGGTATATAATGATTGCAATTATATATTATGTATGTTAGGTACAATTTCATCTTTATCGTTATTAATTTTAATGGTACAATTACATCTTTATCGTCATTAAATACAATGGTACAATTTGATCTTTAATATTAGGTATGGCGGATAAAATTAATGGGTGTAAGTACAGTAATTGGTCAAAAATCAAAGACGGAAAACTTATTGATGCATTGGTGAATATGGTCAATGTTGGAGGATATAAAGCTAATAATGGCTTTAAATCCGGATACTTGCAACATTTGGAACAAGCATTGAAAGTGTCGCTTCCTAATTCTAATTTATTAGGTAAACCACACATCAAGTTAAGAATAAAGACCATGGAAAAGGACTGCCAAATCGTACATGATATGCTACATGGTACGAACACAAGTGGCTTTGGTTACGATAGTTCTAAAATGTGTGTGACTGCCGAGGCGCCACTTTGGGAGTCTTACCTGCAGGTACATATTACTATGTATTACATATTACCATGTTAAGAATTGTTTTTTCAACGTTTCTATGTCTTTTGCCAATTTAGGTACACAAATAGGCTTCAAAATGGAGAAACAAACCATTCCCTCATTATGAAGACTTGTCTTTTGTTTTTGGAAAAGATCGTGCTCATGGAAATCAAGCAAGAGACTATGATGGTTTAGAAGAAAATGTTGACATGGAAGATGGCCAAATGCCTTTTCAAGAACAACAATCTAATGAAAACTTGGACTATTCGACAGAAGATAGCCAAATGCCAAGTCAAGAGTGTACATCTCAAGGTAATAGAAAGCGCAATAAGTCGAGGTGATCCTCTTGTTGATGCAATAAATAATACTGCTATCATACTTGGAGATAGACTTTTAAAATCATCGGACAAGTTGAGATAGATTTACATCAAAAGACTTCCGTGGTTGGTTCTGAACTCGCCCAAATGAATTTTACTTCAATGGAAAAGTTTAAAGCACTGAGAAAAATATCACGTGAACCTGAATCCGTGTTAAACTTTTGGAACTATGAAGGAGAAGCTCGAGAAGAGTTTGTGAGGTACATTTTGCAAGAATGATTGTGCTTGATGATTTAGCTCTTTTTTAAAACTATGATGTTTAATGGCTTTTGGAACATATATTTGAATATGCTTTGGTATTTTGGCGTCATATGTCCGATTGTTTAATGATGGTGGCATGTAATTATTTTGAACAAGTTTGATGGATTTTGAAGCAATTTTAATATTAAGTAACGTCATTTGGTTTATGGTTATATTTGAGTTGTGTATTGTTATATTGTTTTACACACTAGAATATTTAATTATTATTTTATTAAAATATTTTTAGTTAAAAAAAATTAAAGTAATTAATAATTATTATGTTAAAATATTTTAAGTTTAAAAAAAATTAATTTATCAAAAAGGGTATTTTAGTCATTTACCAGAATTTCATTTCAATTCCTTTAATAGATTTCATTCTAATTCTGCCAACCAAACATGTAGTCAAACCTGACAACATTCCATTATAATTCCTTCAAAGTCAAATCTTTTGCCAGATTCCATTCCATGTTGGTTTGATAATTGATTTGGTTCCGTGAATCGTTTCTTTTGTTTTGATAATATTACATTAGAAAGTTTTGATTTTTATCTATTTAGTCATTTAATATAAGGGCCTGTTTACTTGCTTCTTATTACCTCTTACCGGGTAATAGGCTCTTACCTTGGTAAGAGATGACTTGTTTACCAAAAAGAAAGTTGACGTCTTACCATAATATATTTGATGACCGTCCTCTTTCCCTAGTAAGAGGTTGATATGCTCCTTACTAGCGTAAGAGGTAACCATCCTGGTTATACCCCTATACCCATCACTTTTGAAAAGAAAAAAAAATATTCAACAGTAAGTGATGCATGTTCATACTTTATCCAAACACGACTCCATAAATGTCACATCTGCAACATCTCGTGTATGTGGGTATCAGTTCGGTTCCAATCCCTTCCAAGGAATGAACAAATAGAAAGAAGGAAGAAGGAAGAAGAAAGGAAGAAGGAAGAAGAAAGAAGAAGTGGGTTTTGTTAAACCTCCTTTTTCTATTTCTATGTTATTGTGTTATGCTAGTGGCTAGGTGGCTAGGTGGCTAGGTGGCTATAACTTTTTACCATTATCAACCAATTTTTAATATTTTAATTTTCTTTTATAATAATTATTAATAAAAAATATTCTAAACGTTGAAATTGATCTATAATATTATATTTTATTGGTATCAGAAAAAATATAACATAACATTAATGCATCTTCAACTATTTTGATATATTATAACTTTGATTTGGTTCCGATATGCATTATTGTATAGGGTATTGTAGTAATTTTTACTTGGTCAGTACTTAACACAAAACATATGGTAAACATTAAATTTTGAATCAACACTTACTCCAATCAGATCTCTTATCATAATCAGACGTCTTACCATAGTAAGCATTTATCTACAAGTTTTGGTAAACAGCCCCTAAGTCTCAATTCAAAGCTTTTGAAATGGTGTCATTTGTAATAAGTAGATTTCAGTTTTTAATTGGTAAGTTCTGAGCTTAATTCGATTTAATTGAGTAGCATATCTAGGTGACGCACATGCATTCGGTTTTAATACAAATCGTTAGCTTAACCATTGACTCCCTGAGAAGAACGATACCTAACATACCACTTTACGATTTAAGTTTGGTTTATAAGTTAAAACCTTGTTGTGCATTGAACAATGCATCCAACATATCAAAATAGGTGGAAAGGTTAAACATAAATAAAATAGATTGGAAAAGTTTAAGTTTTTTTGAAATTAGCATTCGCGATCGCGTCACTTATAAAGGCGTGATCGTGTTTGATATTCTCTAAAGTTTTTGTTTTCTTAAATTGACATTCACAATCGGTCACTTATAAAGGCGCAATCACGTTTGTACTGGCTGAATTTTTTGTTTCCAAAAAATGGTCATTTGTAATCCTCAACATGTAAAGGTGCGATCAAGGTCTACCTATTTTCATAAACAGTTTTTGGGCGAAATCCATTAATAACTAATATTTTAGGCCCCAAAAGTGATTACAATGCCCCTATATGTAGTATCCCTTAACAATAGATGTATGGTATGAATTTCCAAAAACACATACTCTCAAAATAAAGATTTTCATGACGTTCATGGAGAATATTATGTGGAGTGCATAAAATTATATCTTGAGGTGATTCTTGTTAGTGATTTTAATGTTATCAAACATTTTGGTGTAATTAGTAATTTACAAGGTGTTGGCTAGGTGACAAGGCAAACATAATGTGAGTTAGGAGGTTTGGAGCGCACACTCACAAAAGTTTCCCCTATCATCTTAGATCGTCGTAAGGGGTGTTAGCCCCCTTACGGGGTGCAACACCTCTAGCATGGTTCAAGGATTAGCGCCCTCTGACGATGGTCGAGGGGGCCGCCCTCACGAGGTTCAGGGGTAGCTCCCCGAAACCAGTACGAATTTTATGAATAAGATTGCTTATAAAACCACTACTGATTATAGAAACTTAGTGTTTTGGAGAATAAGTATAGAATCAGAAGGTTATGAGTCTGTATTAAAAGCTTCTAATTGATTTGACTTACAACTTCTAAGACTTTTAACTCACAACTTCTGAGTCTACCTCCGATCAGTTTCAACCTTATCCACAAGCAGTTATTTTGTAACTGTTGTGCAAATATAATTAAACAACCTAACTACATATAATTGTCTGTCTCTCATATAAATGTGTAAGACGTTGAATCTGGGTATATATAACTAGATTACCACAACCTTTAAAATTAGAGTAATTATTACATTATTCCAGTACTCAGTACTCAGTTCGTGATACCCAAGGCTTATGGGGTCGAAAATTCTGCATTTAGAAAGCGGACTATACGCGGTCCACTTAATTTATCTAGCCTTTTGTGATCAAGGAACCCTCTTATGATTTTCTTTCTCGTGCACTACCCCTTCCAATGAGTTTTGAGGATAAAATCAAGTTGGCTCTCATGAACAACTTGATGCACTATGACTCACAAATCCGAATAAAGAATCCAAATAGATTTTAAACGAGACAAAAGGTAGTTAAAGGTCACTCAATAAAAATTTCTTAATGATATGTGTAGCAATTATGGGATGAAATTTAGATTGGATACCATTTGTGTAAATCGTGGGGGCTAATAATTTTGAGTTTAGTGATTCTCACATCCTCAAGATCTTTGTTTGTATCCATCCATTTTCTAAGAGCATATAATACTTATATAAGGTAAATATCCATCTATCCGACAATTTTATTGGAAGGGTGACTCGGGCTATGCCAAGATTGACCTCGACAAATTATGATTGTAAGGTATTAGCCTTGATAAAATCAATGGCCACAATTGTTGTGGACGCCTGAAATTTAATCTAGGATAGATGAGATTTTCCACCACATACCCCTAGCCCCAACTATTTTTGGTTTGAAAAATCACAACCCATTCAATCCTTTTTAAATTTGTTGTAATAATCTGGTTATTATTTTGGTTTTATATATAATATATATATATATATATATGTATGTATGATATATGTGTGTGGGAGTATATAATTAAAAAAAAGGGAGAGGGGTCGGCTATTAAGCCGCCGCTCAAAGTTCTTGTGGGTGTGTATGTATATATAGTTTTTGTGAAAAGAAAACACATTCATACACATACTATTTCTGGAAAGTGTTCTCTCTGAGAATTTGAAGAATTTGCACAAGAAGAAGAAGAATTCAAAGGCTTTCATTTTCGGTTTCTAAAAGGTGAGTGTATTAAAAGCTTTGAATATGAATTGTTTTAATACAAATTGAAAAGCATTTAGATCTGATTATTATGAGTTTGGATGCATTTTATGATGATGCTTGTGTAAACCGGCCAAGTGGTGTCCGGATTGA